GCTTCACTGAGGTTTATTAGTAGTATTATAATCCTCCTATGCGCGTATTTGTTCCCCCCAGTCTTCTCTCTTCTCCCACTCCTCCACTGTTTGTGTGACGTTTCCTTTTCCGCTTATTTTTTGCGGGTTTGCTTGCTACCCCTCCCCCTGCCTTTCCCTCCTCTTCCCCCCCCCCTTCCCCACCGCCGGCACAGAAGCAGTCCGTGGGACTGCGCTCCTCCAGTTAACGCGTGCCTGATTGCATGCGTGCAATGTGTGTAATGTTTTTGTATGGATGTCGAGGTGGAGACACAACTAGGCGCGTACTAAGACCGTGGTTAGGTAACCCCGTGTTATTTGGCACCACCGCATGCTTTTTTTTCTTGTTTTGTTTCTATTGACGTTGTTATTTCTTTGCCTCGTGCGCGTTTGTTAAGTATCCGTCTTTGGTTAAGTGTGTGTGTTTGGTACTACGTGAAAAGACCACCGGCGTCCATCAGCGTTGTGCTTAGAGGCCAGTGCAAGAATGAAAATACATAAATAGACATATATATATATATACTTCACACCCGTTCGAATTCTCTTGCATCCGGTCGACCCTTCTTTTTGTTTTTTTTTGTTTTTTGGCTTTTTCCCCCCGCCCGCCCCCTTCAGCCGTTGCCGTTTTTTACTCTTCGCCTTTGTTTAAGTGTTTTATTGCGCCCTCCCTCCCCGGCTCCGCGCCCCTCAGGGCAGCCCGACCAGCGAGAAGGCGGCCCACTCCGCCAGGGGGGCGCCGTCGGCGATGCACTGCAGGTACGCGCCACGCACGCACGCGGCGACGCTGCACCCGCCCGCCATCGCCGCCGCCGCCGCCGCCGCCGCGACGCGGTCGCTCGTCGGCAGCCGGCTGTTGACCGCCATCAGCATGCGGCAAGCCCCCGCGTACTGCAGCGCGCGGTACACCGGGACGCCGGTCTCGTGGATGGACAGCCCGGCGTACGTCCCTACCCCGGTGCACACCACGAGGGCGTAGGGGCGCAGGTCCCAGGTGTTGGCGACCTCGCCCGACTGGCTCGCGACGACGTCGCTCGAGGACGCACAGAACATGCCGCAGTAGTCCTCCCGCACCTCCGGCAGCGCCCGCAGCCGCAGCTCAAGCACACCGCCCAGCGCGGCCTCCTCGTGCACGGCACGGTAGAGGGCGTTGCGGACGCCGCGCACCTTCCCGCGGCGGTGCAGGGCGGAGAGCAGCCGCTGCGTCGCGGCGACGTCCGCGTCGTCCGACGGCACCGCCGTTTCCTCCCCGTCAGCGTCGCCGACCCGTCGGGCCTCGGCGGCCGGCTCTTCGCGGTCCTCATCTATCACCACGCGACGCACGCAGACGCCCACCTCCACCGCCTCGGCGAGGTACGCGTCTAGCAGCGCGGAGGTGTGGGCGGCGGCGTCGACGACGGTGTACCGCCGCGCCTCCCGCGCCTCCCCCGCCCGCGCCGCCGCTGCCGCGTCGGCGTAGTGCGTGCACAGCAGCGCCATGGAGCAGCACGTGCTTGTGCAGAAGCGCTCTGCAAGGTACTGCCGCCCGTCGTAAAAGGCGTGGAACGGCAGACGGCTGAAAACGCCATCGCCGACGAACATCAGCCCACCGGCGTCGCCCAGGTGCGTTGCTAAGGGCGCAATGAAGCCGTCGTGCAAAACCTTCAGGCAGTACGTTGCGTCGGCGTCGAGCGACTTCACACGCGCCGCATTCGTCGGCGACTGGCAGAAGTCAAAGGCCACTTTTGAGTAGAGCTGCGGCCAGAGCGGGGTGTCGCCGTAGAGCCGCACCCCGTCCTCCGCGTACATTGGCGCGTCCAGGACCTTTGAAAGGGCGGTGGAGGTGCACAGCAGGGCAATCAGCTCCTCCTGCAGACGCAGCGGAAGGGCCACGCAGGTCAGGCTGCCGTCATCGTCCAGCCCCAGAACGTACGCCATGAAGTCCAACCCTTCGTTCCAGGGAAGCGAGTAGCATACTATTCGCCACCCCTGCATCGCAGGACTCTTCAAAAGCCCCTCAACGGCGCTTCGGCTGACGAGCTCCGCGTCCTTTGTCTCTAGTTGCGCCCCGGCCCGCCTTTGCCGGCGCAACAGCAAACGGGACACCTGAACCGTGTTTGGGACGTGGCTACGATCAGAGCACTGAAGGGCCGCAAAGGCTTCATTCTTGCGGAAGTGCACCTGCTCCAGAATACTACAGCAGCGCCACTCCACCTCGCAAAGGGCTGCCTTAACCAGGTACTGCTTCTGCTCCGCCTCATCCACACGCGCGATAGTGGCCAGGGACTCCTGCAGGTGTTGTTGTGCCTTCTCCGACAGGTCTAGGCTTAACTCGGCCTCAGCCAACTCCACCAAGGCCTTCGCGAGGGTCGTTAAGTCTTGGCATTGTTGTGCCTGCCGCAGCGCCCGCATACAGTAGTCGTACGCCTTCTGCAAGTGCCCACCCAGTCGCCAGCAGACAGCCGCGCCTGTGAGAGACTCAATCGTCTGTCGCGGGTCTTGGGCGTTGTAGACGGAGAGCTCCTCCATGTAGTTCTCGGCAGCCTCGTCGTAGCGGCAAAGAAAGCGCTTCGTGAGGGCAATGGCACCCAAGCAGCGCGATATCGCCTGCGTGTCTCCGAACTCCCTGGCAATCTCAAGCTCGGTCTCCTGCAAATGCAAGGCAGCTGACATGTCGCCAAGCTGGCACTTTAGCTGGGCGTAGTTTTGCAGGGACCGCTGGTGACGGTGCCGCGGGATGAATGGAAGCAGCGCACGTGAGGCCTCGTAGGCCTGATTCGCCTGCTCTATCTCGCCAATGGCTGAGAAGGCAATGCTCTGGCAGCAATAAATATCGCAGAGCAATTGGGGCTGTGCCGTGGCCCGGGCAAGGCGCTCCGCCGCCTCGTACCAGGCGAGGGACTCGGGAAACAGACCGGTGATTTCGAGCGTCACGCCCATCTGCATTGCGATCCAGCCGAGCGCGGGTTTTTCATTCTTGGCAATGGCAATCGTCGCCGCGCGTGTCAGGTTGGCGCGGGCGTCCATGGTGTCAATGACGCGCGCAAAGGTCCGCGTGATGGCGAGGCGAGAGAGCATCTCAAACAGCTCAAGTTGTTGCTTCTCCGCGAGCTGCAGTGCCTTGTAGCACGTCTGCAGGCTCTTCTCCACGTCAACGCAGCCGTCGCTCGTCTCGAGCAGAATCGCGCAGACCAACGCGGGGCACTGGTGGTAGCTAGACTCCGGCAACTGCCGCAGTGCACGCTGCAAAAGGAGCATCTTGACGTTTGACGCCTCGGAGACGGTCAACGCACGGATAAAGGTCCGGTAGGCAATGCTCTGCCGCGCGCTCACCGGCGGGGCGGGCAAAAGCTCCTCACTCTGCGCAACGCCCACAATCGGAACCCCCATAACGGTAAGCGGTGTAAGGGACCCCTCGACGGCGGCGGGAGGCGCACTAAGGTTTGGCGAGGGCGTCGCCGCTCTCGCTGCGGCGGCGACGGCGGCGGCGGCGGCGGCAACAACTGCTACGGCAGCGGGCGCCGTGCCAGTCACCAGACGCTCCAGTAATTCCTCGTCGCTGCTGTCAACCTTCGTGCGGCGTAAATCCCGTGGGCGCTTTGCCTTGGCCTCAACGATCGCCTCGTCTTTTCCAGAGCCCTCATCCTCCTTCTCCCTCTGCTGCTGCTTGCTCCTTCCCAGCTCCGCCGGTTGCCGGCCCGGAAGCCGCACAACAGCCCCATTCTCCCGCACCTTCCCCGCAGTTGCGCATGACGCGGACTTCTTCAGCGATACCGCCGCAGCCGCAGCGGCGGAATCGGCCCCTGACTTCCCCTGCACAATCGTCCACTTCTCATCCCGCCGCGTCTTCGGCTTAGGCTTCTTGGCGGCCGTCAAAGACCCCGACAGTGAGGAAGCTGGCGCCGGCTTCGGGCCCTCCGCCCGTATCCCGAGACGGGTGACCTCATTGGAATTGCTTTGCGTGGTGCCCTCCGTCTCGGAGTACGTGTCCCCGCCCTCGTTGGAGGCGACCCCCGTGTTGTCGGTGTTGTCGATATCCTCCTCATCCGTGGTCGCTGTGGTTGCGTTGGCGGACGTCGTGGTCGTCGCACTCATCGCAGTCGTGTTGGCCGCACACGTTGCGGGCGTCGTCGCGGTTGTTGTATTTGAGTCTGTATTTGTGCCTGAGCGCGGGGGCGGGGTTGCCGTCGCCCACGCCGCTGCGGCGTCGGCGGGGGTGTCGGGGCGCAGTTTCGCCTGCCGCTGCGAGCGCGGAAGGGGGATCGATACTTTCGGGGTCGGCGTGCGGGAGGCCGCCCCGCAGTACGACTCCTCCAGCGCCACGGTGACCTCCCGCGACTCGCCCTGCGAGTCCAGCGAGGAGAGCGTCGTTGACCTCGGCCGCGGGGCCGTCGAGCCGGCCATCCACCCACTCGACTTCCACGGCGGCCGCTGCCGGCAGTAACCGGAGAGCGCCGGGACGTCCTGCTCCAGAAGCATTGTGCTGCGGTACGGCCCCTTCCGCGGCGGCGCGGCGGCGACGGCCGCAACGGACACGGGAGCCGCAACGGCCGCGGGAGCCGCAGTGGCCACAGCGCTACTGAGGGAGTCTATCTGGATGGCGCTGAGGTCCGTGTCGCCGCAGAGTGGCGTCGGCGGCCGCTGCAGCGCGCCAACTTGGTACGGGTCATTCTGCCGGCGCACTGGCGGCACCTGCACGCCGACCGCCCCGTCGCATGACGGGTACCACGGCCGGGCGCCTGGGTTCAGCATCTCTACTGGTATCCCTGCAGAGTCTTTTTTTTTTGCGCCAGCAGGGACGTGCGCCGTGCCAAAGCCCAAAATGCCGAACAAAAAGGGGGAAAAAGGAGAAGCGTTTGAAGGTCACAAGCGACAAAGAGCACACAGGCACAGAGATATACGTAACAAACCGGGTAAGCAGCTGTCAGTGCAGTGCTGAACACTTGCCGCGGTGCACGCACAAGTCGATGGCAGAAGCGAACGGCGAGACACCAATCCGCAACGGGAACCATAAGAAGAAGAAGAAAACAAAACAAAAAAACAGCACACGGTGTGAAGCGCGTGGGCGAGATGCGCCTACATGTATGTATGTGTTCTGAAGGCAGTGCGTTGTCCTCCGCCTTTTTTGTTTTCTCTCACTCTCTGCGGCGCACGGGCCTAATGCCGCTAGTGCCGGTCCCACAGTCCACTGAGGTCCTCGTCACCAAACGGGCGCGCCTTCACGCCGTGCCGGCGGCGCAGGGCTTCGTGGTACGCCGCCTCCTCTCGTTTTCGCTTCGCCGCCGGTGTGTTCTCCTCCGCCGCCGCAGGATCAAAGGCGGCGGCGCCGTCGCCGTCGCCGTCGCCGTCCGCCGCATAATGGCCCATGCCGCCCACGTTAAGCGGGTCCTCGCCGCGGCCGGGGTTCTTCAGCACGGTCTCCTTCATCTTCTCCATCGCCCGCTGGGCGCGGATGTTCTCCAGCGACTTGCGCATCATGTTGAGGCTGTGGGCGTCCTTCGCGTCGACGGTCGTGTTGAAGAGCGAGCGCATCTCCGCGCTGACGTCGTAGTCCCACACGTCCCGCGTCTTGAAGTCCTCGTGGTCGGCGTAGACGCCGGTCGGGCTGTGGTCCTTCCGCTCGCCCTGCACGCCCGGCTTGCCGTCCTGCGTCGCGGCGGAGACGGCCGCGATGTCGCCAGGCCGCTCCCCGTACGACTTTGCCGAGTTCATGTCGTACCCCAGCGCGCTCTCCTGCGTCTCCTGGTTGAACACCCCGCTGCGCCCGAAGACGGCGCTCGTCATGTGGTCCTCCTCCGTCATCCACTTCTCCTCCATGTGCCACATCGAGACCGGGACGGGAATGTGGCGCGCCAGCCGCGTGTGGTCCAGCTCCCAGTCCTTGCACTCCGCCCCCGCACCCCCCGCGCCGCGGCGGCGCTGCTGAAAGACGGTCTCCTCGCGGGTCATCCTCGGCGCGGGCGCCTTCATCTGCCGCTCCACCTCCAGCAGGAAGTCGAAGATGTCGGCGGCGTAGGTGCACATGGCGGTGCCAGCCAGCTGCGTGCACTTGCTCTCCTCGTGCACCGTCGCCGTCAGCATGCCGACGCAGCGCCCGTGCCGCATCACGACGGAGCCGCACATGCCCATGCCGACGCGGCCCCTCTCCGCCCCCTCCAGCGAGGTGGTGTCGAGGAAGAAGTGCTCCCGCGTCAGGGCGTGCACCTTGGCGCGGATGCCGGTCGGCACCATCAGCGGCTCCGGCGCCTTCTCCTCGTCAAAGAGCGACTCATGCGCCGTCATGCCGTAGATCCAGACATGGTCGCCCACGGACAACGGCTCCACCAGCTCCAGGCGCGGGCGCGTCACGTAACCCTCATTCTGCATCCACAGCATCTTCATCTCGCCACTGCGCTTCAGATTTTGCTCTGGGTGCACCACGCAGAGGTCTAGTCGCGGGTTGGTGTGCACGTACACATGCTGGTTAGACGTGAAGTGCTTGTAGACGGCGTCCCCCTGCAAGGAGACGAGGCGCACCTGCGTCATGGTGTCGGCCAGCGTGATGCGGGAGACGAAGCGGGTCGGGCCCTCCGTGGGGTAGTAGTTGGGGTAGTCCCAGGGGCAGATCACGTGGGCGCACGTCAGCAGGTGGGTCCAGTGCCCGCCGTACTGCGAGAAGTTCGGCCCGCGCGTCTGCCCAAACCAGTCGAAGGGGACGCACGTCGCGTCCATCAGCCGGCGCCAGCGATCCGACTCCTTGTGGCGCCACTTGAAGCGCGTCTGCACCGCCATGCACCAGGGCTGGAAGCGCACCATTTTGCCACGGCCTGTCGCGAGTGTGTGTGTGTGTGTAGAGAGAGAGAGAGAAGAATAAAGCATCAGTAGAAAGGAGGGCATGCATCGACGACACAGACGCGCATAGTAGGGCGCACGCACAACAACAACAAGAGCAACAACAACAACAATAAACAAAATAATAATAAGTGGGGTGGCGGCGGCGGCAGCAGCAGCAGCGCAGGTACAACAAAAAGGAGAAATATAAACAACAAATTGTGTTGAGGCAGAGGAGGAGGAGGAGGAGGAGGGTGGCGAAAAACACTCAAACCGCAGAAAAGTAAGAACACGCCCTCGGGCGAAACAGACGGCATGCAGAGCTGCTCAAACACAGAGGCAGGAAAAAGGAAATAATAGTGATAATAATACAACGGCCCCACACCGCCGCTAGTAGACCTCGGCTCTCTGCCGCTTGTCTGTATTGCTTTTCCCTTGTGTTTGGCTATACTTCTTTTACTACTTCCTCTTCACGGCCCTTCTTTCTTTATTTTCCCTCTTCTCTGGTCTCCGCAGCCTTCCCTTCCCATTCCAGTCTCGCACGTAGACGCAGGAGTGCAGCGAAGAAACAGAAACATAATAAAAAAGAAGGAAAAAATAAAAAAAGGAACCACGCACGAGTGCACATGTGCAGGGCCTGCACGGAGGCCCGGAAGCGAAAGGGACGAGGCACCGGCGCTACTCGCCGCGCATCAGCACGACGGCGCGGGGGAGAAGACTCGGGACGTCGCCAAACGTCTTGTCGCCGTCCAGCTCCAGCGGGCGCGGCGGGTAGCCGGCCACCAGACGGAATCCCCCGCCGGTGTAGTCCGCCAGCGACATCGCGTAGTCGCGCAGGTGGCGCAGCTTATCGCTGCGGTAGAAGCGGCGGTGGTGCTGCGTCCCACGCAGCGACTTGAGGCTAATGAACGCGACGGTCGAGGGATCCGCGTCGGCAGGGGGCTCCTGCGGCAGCCGTGCGGCCGCGGCCGCCTGCAGCGCCTCCGCCCGAGAGCGCCGCTGCGCCTCCTCCTGCCGCCGCTGCTGCTGCGCCTCCTCTGCCGCCTCCACCTCGCGCCGCTGCCGCTCCTCCCGCTCACGCCGCTCGCGCAGCTGCTCTTCGTAGAGCCGGATGCGCTCGCGGTCCAGCTCCTGCATCGCGTGCGCCCGCAGCTCCTCCTCGCGGCGGGCCCGCTCCTTCTCCTCCCGCTCCAGGCGCAGGTGGACCTCCTCCGCCAGCCGCCCGTCCCAGTGGTCGAAGGCCATTTGAAGGTTCTTCACCACCGCCTCGGCGGAGAGGAGGCCCTTCAGCTTCAGCACGGCGGTGCGCTTCAGCAGGAGGGCGAGGAAGGGGAACGTCGTCACCTGCAGCTCCGCCTCCAGCCGGCGGCCCTCCAGCTCCAGCACGGAGGCCCCGAAGAGCACCAGCCGGGTCCCCACCAGCTCCCGCAGCTGCGGGCTCGACATCACTTGCGTCAGGAACTCCGCCGTGTCCTCGTGCGTCGGGGAGTGGACGTAGACGAGAAGGTACAGCCCCCGCCGCTGCGCCTCGCGCCGCGCGGCATCCAACGTCTCGTGGACGATGGGGAGCTCCACGCCGTACTCGCAGAACACATCGTTCGCAAAACTTGTCACCGACATGCGGATCAACTCCTGGCGAGGGGCGGCGAACACAAAAAGCAATAATAAATAAATAAAGCAGAGTCAAGAACTAGGGAGAGAAAAGAAGTGGCACACAGACACACACACAGAGAGAGAGGGAGAGAAAGGAAAAGGCAGCACACGCCCAAAGAGGGCGGGTGCAGGGCACGGGAAGCAGCGCCCCCTCCTCCGCCCCCCCACACACACACACGACAACGCAAGTACGCCCGCTCGCTCTCGCTCGCTCACACCTGCGCGCTCGGCGAAGGAGCAAAGACGCCAACAAGGTCCTCCCCACCGCAACAAAGTCACGGGAGTAGTGAGGCGGTTACGAGGTTGTCTTACCGCCGGGCTGCAGGACGCCGGTGTCGACGCTGCCTAGGATCTGCTGCGCGATGGTGTCCGGTGGGGTGTCGATCACCGGCCCGTACGCGTCGAGCCCAACATGCGCCTTCTTGTCCTCGATGCGGATGTCGTCGCGCCGCGCCTCCTCCTTCATGGCGCGGAGGTACATGTGGTAGTCGAAGAGGTGCGGCCGCTTGTTAAACACCTCCACCCACGTCTCGTAGAGGCGCGGCTGCGTGTAGTACTTGAGCAGCATCTGGGTGACGAAGACGCAGTCCTGGCGCACAAATATCTTGTCCTTGATCTCGCACCGCACCAGCACAATACGCTTGGTGCGGGACAGCTCTGTAAAGAACTGAATGGTCATGTCAATCTGCGCGTGGTCCTGCTTCTGCTGCCACTCGCCCAGCGGGGCGACGCCGATGAGGTCGCTGTCCCAGTTCGTCACGACGTTGAAGAGCCCCTTCGTGCGGAAGACGGGAATCACAAAATAGGGGCAATTCTGCAGGCGGGGCCGCAAGGCGCCGTAGGCGTCCGCGGAGATCACGCGGCCCCAGTACTGCACAAACTGCTTGTGGTGCTCGTTCCAGAGCGCCGCCACCTGCGGCGTCGGGGTCGCCTCAAGGAGGCTCAGCTTGCAGATCTCGTCCAGCGACTTTCGCCCAGGCAGCTTGTAGAAGCCGCGCAGGCCGCAGCTCTTGCGCAGCATCTCCCGCGCTGGAAACCTCCACGGCGGCGGCGGGGACGATTGTGGTACAGTGAGAGGGGAGCAGGAAGGGATGAAGCGCAACGTGTTGGGCGCCCGCCGCCACAAAATCGTCACGGAGGGGGGAAGCGGGGGTGGGGGGGCAACGGCGACAAGACGCGGCGCTGCGACACACACACACACACACGAGCACACGCCCCGCGCGAGCAACGCAGCAAACAAACAAACAAACAGTTCAATAAAGAGGGGGAGTGAATATAACGGTCAGAGCATCTAGACGTAATATACGTGTATGTATCTATGCATGTGCATGTGTGCATTCTAATTGCGAGGAGGCACCGCAGCGGCCCAGTGGTCACGGTGCTGCTTCTTCCTGTTGTTTTTTGTCTGTTTTCCTCCTCCTCATTTTCCCTCGTTGCTACCACTGGGGTAGTTTTTCGTTGTTTTGTTTTGTTGTTTTTTTTCTTTTTCTTTTTTTTCTTTTCCCCCTCTCCTTCTTCTCCCGCGGCAGCCGCCAGCTTCTACCGAAAGACGGCACGCCGCGGCACGTAGACGGGCGAGTCGCGTTGGTGCATGCGGCTGCTGGCGGTGGGGGTGCGGTACAACCGCTCGCAGCTGCCGCGCGAACTGCAGCGCGACCCGGCGGCGCCGGCGAGGCTGCTGCTGCTGCAGCGGCTGCTGCTGCCCGCGTCCGTCCACAGCCGCTTCTTCGTCAGCGCCGTCCCGCCGCCATCGTTGTGGCTCAGCGAGCGCGAGCGCGCGGCGGCCGCAGCTCGCCCCTGCCGACCGCCGGTGCGCCCACGCGGGGCGGGCGAGTCGCCCAGCCGCCGCGAAGACGACCGCCGCGGCACCGGCGAGGGCGTGTCGAACCGCGAGCGCCGCCGCACCTTCTCGCCGCGGCGACTACTGTCGGGCTGCGGGCCGCAGTGCGGCGCCCGCTGCTTCAGTCGGGCGAAGGCCGCGTGCGCCGCGTCCCGCTCCTCCTCCGCCTGCCGCAGCCGCGTCCGAAGGGCCGACAGCTTCTTCTTGAGCCGCTCCACCTCACAGGCCCCGTCCACGCGCTGCTGGAAGTCCTCGCAGAGGCGCTGCATCTCGAGCATCTTCTCCCGGCTCAGCCGGGCCAGCGCCGCGTTCTCGCGTCTAAGTTTCTCGTTCTCCGTCCGCAGCCTCGCGAGCTGGGCGTTGCCGGCAGCCTCCGCCCCCGCCGTCGCGCCGTCCTGCCGCGGCGCGGTGCCTCGCGGCTGCGGATCGACGGAGGCGGAGGCGGAGGCGGCCCCGCACACCGCCGCGGGGGTCACCTGCAGGAGCGGCACGGGGAAGACGGCGCGTGTGAAGTCCACGTCGTAGTCGAGCGTGAAGAAGCGCTGCGCGCGGGCGGCGTCGGAGAGCTGGCTGGCGTCGCTGTCGTCGACAAGGGAGTCGGCGGCCCCGCGGCCGCGCTGCGCCACCTCCGCCGTAATTCGGCTCCGCATCTCCTCGCACGTCTCAACAAAAAACTTCACGCTTGGGGAGCGGCCGATCATGGCGTTGTACGTCATGTCTGCAAAGCCGGCGAACTCCTTCCGCACCCCGGCCGCCGTGGTGATCTCCAGCACGTCGCCCTCGCGCAGCAGCGCGGCGTAGTGCACCTCCGGCGCCGGCTCGAAGGCGGACACCTTCGGCACCACGTCTATGCGCATCGAGTCCGCGCCGGCCGCGTAGCGCACCAGGTAGCGGCCGCACGGGGAGTGGACGCAGCACTCCATCCGCCCCTCGCCCCAGTGAAGAACTATCTATGCACGCAATGTGTCTCCGCACAGGCCCCGCTCGGAGAAGAAAAAAAAATACAATATTAATAATAGGCGGGAAAAGCCATGTGAAACGCACGGAAGATGGAGGAGGAGGAGGAGGAGGGCAACAGGCACCGAAACGCCTCACTCAACCCCCCCCCCAAAAAAAAAATCAAGGTCAGCAATGTGCTTTTGGCGCCGTCATTGGTCGCACTGCAGCGTAGTGTATGCTCGCAAGAGAGGGGGAAAAGAAAGAGCGAGACAAAAGAACTGGTCGGCAACCTCACCCCTCCTAACCTGCCCCTCGCCTCCTCCCGGTGCCCGGCAGGTCGGTGTGTCGGCGTGGCGTCGTCGCTCCCCGCCGGGCCGCGCAGAGCACCTCCGCCGCCTCCGCCACGTAGTCGCTGCTGCTGCCGGGCTGCACACGCGGCACTCGCCAGACTCGCTGCGCCGGCAGCGCAACCGCCGAGCCGAGCGGGTGATCAAGCGGGTGCAGCGTGCAGAGCAGCCCGGCCTGCCCCTCCGGCGAGAGCAGCTCCAAAAGCGGCAGCCGCACATCCTCCGCCGCAGCGCAGCAGCGCGGGAACATGGGGAGCTGCTGCTTCTCTCGCTCGAAATACTCCGCCCACATGCGGTGGCGCAGCCGGCAGTAGGCGGCCACGTCTGCCGCCGCCGTCGCCTGCCACAGGCGATCACACTTCAGCTCCAGGCGGGCACTGAGGGCCGCGTTGAACGCCGGATTGCGGCCAACCGTCACGCCGAGGCGGCACGGCACAGAGCAGTAAAACGTTTGCGGCGCCGCCGCCGCCTCCTCCGAAGGCGCACACGTCGCATGCGTCAGGGAGCGGCATGTGGCGCACCGCAGCAGCCGCGCGTCGCCCTGCCCCGCGCCCACGCCGCACACTGTGCAGAGGCGGCAGGCGCAATCCTCCCCGTTGCACCATTCGCACCTCATCTACGCGCGCAAAGCTGAGAGGGGAAAAGGCGGGAAGAAGAAGGAGGCACCGGCTTCTGGCGCAGAGCGGGGGGGAAAGGAGGAAGCGGACGAGGCGTCGAGCGTCATGCGGACAACAAACCCCCGCCCGGCCGCCGCCCCGCCGCCGCCGCCAGCGCCTCGTTGAACTCCCGCCGCTGCATGCGCAGAAACTGCTCTGCCGCCAAAGTCAACAGCGAGCAGTCGGCGCGGGACGGGCGCTCCTTCTGCGTAAGGATAAAAAGGCTCCACGCCAAAACCAGCAAGCGCCACGCCCGGCGCGACTGCAGGAGCAGCCGCCGGGTGCGCCGCGCCTCGGGCGTGGTTGCCGGGCACGCGTGCTGTGCGAGCGCCGCCGTCTCGTCCCGGCGGCCCGTCCCGTCAGCGGCCCTCTGCGCCGCGGCGCGGAACAACCCGGCGCAGGGCCCCAGCGGGGAGAAGAGCCGGCTGCAGCCATCGAGCCGGGCGAAGGGGCCCAAGACCAGGTCCGCCGGCGTCACGTGGCTGGTCGCCGCCCAGCAGTCCTCCTCCACCTCGCGGAGGGCCTGACCGCGGCGCCTCCACGCCGCCGCGCGCCCCTCCCAGTCGCCGACGAACTTCGCCTGCCACGCGCCAAGCCGTTCGAGCAGCTCCGCCTCCCGCCGCTCCCGCCACGCCTCGCGACGGCGGCATGCATGACGCTCCTCAGACGTGCAGCTGCCGCTGCCGAGGGTGCGGATGTCGAGGGCCCGCATGACGCACACGCGCGAAAGCGCCGCAGCGACTTCCTCCACCTGTCCCTCCAGCATCTCCCCACAACGTCGCCCTCTACAGCATGCACCGCCACTCCCTACGTGAAGGAAAGGGAGAAGGAAGGAAGGAAAAAAAAAATAGGCAGACACAAATGCACCTGCAGCACCGCCCCACGAAGCAACCCTTGTGGACCTCCCTCATCGCCCGCGCAACACGGGAAGAAGACCGGAGGGGGAGAGCAAGAAAAGAAACAAGAAGTTATTGCTGCAACGGTTTTTTCCCCAAAAAAAAAGACAAAACAAAGAAAATGAGAAAGCAAGTCTACACAACAGCGGCGGGGGACCTCACTTCTTCTTCGTCTGGTGACGGAGGGCCTCCTCCATCTTGGCGCGCCGCTTCTTGGCGGCCTTGAAGTTGCCAAGGCGCTTCTTGCAGAACTTGAGGGCACGCTTGTCCTTGCCGACGCGCAGCAGCTCCTGCACGCGCTTCTCCATGGGCGAGAGGCCGACGAGGTCCGTGATGATCGCCTTCACCGCGCGCAGCTTCTTGTGCGGAAGGGCGTAGCGGTCGTTCGAGGACGGGGCGCGGGCGCGGCGGGTGGTCTTGTGGCCCTTGTTGAAGCCGGCGATGATGCCCGTCCGCGGCGCGGGGGCCTCTGCCTTGGGAGCCGTCTTTCTTCACGGCGGGCATGCTCTTTCTCTTGCGCAGGGGCGGCAGAAACAAAACGAGGGGAGGAAGCGTGGGGACCGGAGCTCCAAAGACACACACAAACAGACACAC